ACCCCAATACATAACAGATATATTAACAAAATGTACTATAAACCATAGTTACCCTTATATGTACCCTAACTCATACCTTAACACAAAAACTAACCCAAACAATACCCTTACACATGCCCTAACGCGAATGGGAACATGTATACTAACGTGTACCCTAACCACTAACACATACAGATACCCTCACATGCACCCTAACATGTACCCCAAATGAACCCTAACACTAACTCTAACTCCAAACCTAAATAATACTCTACTACTGCTCTAACTGTAACACATGTACCCTAATCCTAACACATCATCTAAAACTATATCCTAATTAGTTCCCTAGAACATACTCAAAACCATGCAGGTACCCTTACAAGCACTCTATCCCCAAATGTAACCTAACATATTCCCTAACACATGTCTTAGCATTAACCAAAACCATAACCCTAATACCCTAAAACATGTCCTAACCCTAACACATACCCCATCACATATCCTAACATGAACCCTTAACATTAGCACACATATTGTTATGTAGCCTAAACGATACATGTGCCTAACATGTACCCAAATGTGGGACATAACAGTAGCCTAGGACTTGCCATGACCACTAACACACACAGTAACAAGTACCCTAACACATACAGATACTCTTACAAGCACCTTAACATGTACCCCAAATGTACCCTAACACTAACCCAAACCAAAACACTAAGCAATACCCTAAGACATGTCCTAAACCTAACACATACCCTGATATATACCCCAACACATAATCTAAACATTAACCCATAGTCTGAATAACTCCCTAGCATGTACTCTAAGCCTAGGTCACTTACAAGCACCCAAACATGAACCACAAATGTAACCCAACACATACTCTTAACGCATGTCCTAAAAATAATCAAACCCTAACCCTAACCAATACCCTAACGTATGTCCTAACCCATGTACTAATAACACATCCTTATAAATTCCCTACCCACTAATACGTTGTCTAAACCTTACATATACCCCGAATGTATAACCTGACACATGCCCTAGCACTGGCCTTAGTCCTAACACGCACCTTAACCCTAGCATGTACCCTAAAATGTTCTCTAATATATACCCCATTATACACCCTAACTCTGGCCCATACTTGCATCCTAACATGTACCCTGACCAAAATCCATACAACTAACCCTAAGATTTATGGTAAACATTATCTTGTATTCTAACAAGTACCCTAACACATACTCCCAGTGATCCTTACGTGTACCCTAACATGTACCCAAAGTATACCCTTACACATACTCTAACATGTGCCCTAACCCTAACATGTACCTTAACCCTAACAATCCTAAACACATACCATAATTGTACCATGTATCCTAATGTATACCCTAACCACTAATACATACAAAATCAAGTAGACTAAGAGTACTCTAAACCATAGAGGTTTATGTGCACCCTAACATGTACCCCAAACCTACCCCAAATTCATGTACCCTACTCTGCATTAAATCCAAACACTATCTTAACATGTTACCTAACATGTACCCCTGACCCATACTCACAACCCAACATGTGCCCAAACCCAAACTCATACCCTAACATATACCCTAAGCCACTCAGCAATCTTATGCCTCACCTTAAACCATCTGCTGACCCAAATCCATACATAACTGCATAACTAATACTTCCTACAATCCTAACGCACTCCCCAAACCTATATTAGCCCTTTACTAACAAGTTACCTAAGCCTCAATTGTTCCTTACCCACTTTGAAGACCAATCCATAACATAACCACAATCCTAACACATATCACAAAGATCTTCCCAAACTCTGAACCTAACTTTTACATGTATTTTAACAGTAACCATTTTCCTAATAGTACTTTATCACATTAAACAAACTCTAGACACTAACACATATGGTAACAAATACCCTAAAATATACTCTACATACAGGTATGTACCCAAACATACTCTAACCATGACCTTAACATATACCCTAACATGTACTCTAATAAGTATTCTGACATGTACTCTACAAGTAAACTGTAACCCTAACACATACCCAAATGTGTACTCTAATACAAACATTTAAATGTATCCTAACAAGTACTCTAACATGTACTTCAAGTATTACATGTTCCCTAAAGTGTGCACAAAACAGGTAACCTTACATGTACCTCAAATGTATAACAAGTACTCAAACATGTACTCTATAAAACCTAACCTTAGCCTGACCCATTCCATAATCCAAATGCTAATCCTTTCCATAACTCCTAACTTCACCAGATCCTTAACCCATTCACAAACCATAATCCATTATCTTTCCGTAACACTTAACCCAAACTCTAACTTAGCTCTTCATACAAACCTGCTCTGTGTGGCTAATGAAAAACCCAGCACCTGATCTAACCTATTTCTGAACCAGAACTACAAACTTAATTAAAACTCACACCCTGAGTAACCCTAAAAGCACCCAAACTTACCCCTGCCCTTAACATCAATGACCCTACACCTCTACCCAATTCCTCAACAACTCTTCCTTAAGCTTATTCTTTCCATAGCTGTAGGGAGTTGGTCAGAGTTACTGGATGTGTTAGATACACACTAAATGTATGGATTTGAGTTAGCTCAGAGCTGATGATTGAGGGCAGGGTTGGGGCCAAGAGTCATCAAAGTTGTTGTGACAAGTATCAACTTACAAAGCAGGAAGAAGTAGGCCTCCCTTCCTCACAAATGCCTTAACCCCCTTCTCCAGATACCAAAAGCACAGATGAAACCATGGTAGAGATGAGGATGGAGGCCTAAATAGGGACTCAATCTGCCAAAGCATACAGAGTTGTAGAACGAGATTCTACATGCATAATTCAAACTGTCTGGACTCTCAACATTTTCTCCTGACACTCAGTCCCAAAGTGTCTACAGGCAGAGGCAGGCAACAGGCAACAAAGGCCAGGCATCCAGGAGCCTTGTCACAGACAAGGGGGACCTGGTATATCTGACAGGCTAGGTTATGCCTTCTACTTCCCTCCAGAGATCCTTATTAGAATGTGCCATAATTCCAGTCTATAGGAACTGACTGGCTTCTGAGGCATGAAATGGAGGGCTTAGTGTTGAAGTGTTGCCCTACCTGTGGTGAGTCCTGAACATAATACACTGGAATTCACCAAAGCAAACTGAAACACCTTGGGAATGCCTGATGTCTGTAAGATGTACATAATAAAAACATAAACATGTGTCACACATCCCCTCACCCTGTAACCTCCAAACTCTATACAGGACATAGCCAAAAACTCAGTGGAGACTCAGAGCTGAGAATGCAGGCCAGGGATGGGCCTAGTGTGGCTAAAGGTGTTCTGACAGGTACCAAGGTACCAAGCAGGAATGCATAGGCTGCCCTTCCTCACACATATGTTCATTTCCTTCTCCAGGCTCTGGGATGGACATGACTGAAAGCACGAACGAAAACTTGCTATAGATGTACTGATGAAGGTGAAGATCTAAGTAGGGTGTGAGTCTGTGAAAGCAAGTTCAGGGAGGGGGTGTCAGTCAAGCCGCTTCTACACTGGGCCATACACACAGATTCTACACTCACAATTCCAAGTGTATGGACTATACACATTTTCTTCTGCTACTCTGCACATTTTGCTCCCAAAGTACTCAGTCAGAGAAAATCAGCACACAACAAAGGGCAGGCATGTTGGAACTGCTCCGCAGGTGTGGAATCCTGTATAGCTGACAAGCAAAGGACAAAATAGTCACAATGAAGCTCCTTTCTAGAAAACTGACATAATACTAGTGTAAAGGAACTGATTGGGTTAACGGACATAAAGGGGTGAGGCTCAGTGTTGAGGTACTTGCCTAGATTGTGGGGAAACCCTGAAACACAACAGACTTTAACATGACCAAAAAATAATTTAAATACAAACGTAACTGCTGGGCACAAGTGGCTCTTACCTATAATCCTAGCTATGCAGGAGGCCAAGATCAGAGGATCATGGTTCAAAGCCAGCCCAGGCTGGAAAGTGTGTGACATTCTTATCTCCAATGAACCACCAGATACTAGAAGTGGCACTGTAGAGTGTTAGTACTGAGTGAAAGAGCTCAGAGACAGCACCCAGGCCCTCAGTTCAAGCTCCAGGACTGACTAATTACCAACTTTTTCCAAACATCCCTCAGCCCCCAACCCCACAGGCACTGAAAAGCACATGACCAAAAGCAGAGCTGAAAGTGCAGTGAAGACTCCAAGGCTGGGGTAGGGGCTTAGGGTCACTGAAGTTGTTCTGATAGGCACAAACTTACCAAGCAGGAAGTGATAGGCTGCCATTCCTCACATGCCTTCACCCCTTCTCCAGGCCCCAGGACTAACATGAAAGTATAGATGAAAACTTCATGCAGACTTAGAGAAAGACCAGCTGCCTGGACAAAGTATGAGTTCATGGGAGCAAGCTCTGATGAGGTCCATCCCACATGGTTCCACACACCATGAACCTATACTCAGAATTCTAGGCTCCCCACAGTTTATCCTGATACTATGTGTTTTCTTCTCAAAGTACCCACAGTGAGAGGAAAACAACATGCATCAAAGTCTGGATAAAAAGGGCCAGGGCTAAGAGCTGAAGTACCTGCCTAGCTTGTGGGAAGCCATAGAAGACAAGTGGCCAAAAGGAAATAGAATCCCTTTGTATGCCTAATAAAATGTGTATCAAACCTGTATGATGAAAACAAAACTATTTTTGTGATGGTCCTGGGGCTTGAACTCAGGGCCTATTATTAGAGATAAAGAGCCTCAAGGATGTTTCTACCTGGGCTGGGTTCAAACTGCAATGCTCAGCTCTTCACCTCCTGAGTAGCTAGGAAAACAGGCAGGAACCACTGAGACCTGGCAAACACATTTTCCACAGACCCTTCACACCCTCATCCTCTATGTTCTCTCCTCTATGTTCTCCAAAGCAAGATTTGTTGAGGCCCACCCAGCCCATGCTACATTAGGCCGTACACGCAGACCCGGCACTCACCATTCCAAGCTTCTGAACTCGTCCCATTCTCTCACTGCAGCACCAGAGGTCAAGAGAAGTCTCAGGAGAACAAAGAATCAGCGTCCTGCAGGCCCTCCGCTGCTGAGCAGGATCTGGAGTATGGCTGAGGAGAAAAAGAAAAAGCCATCTCAACCACACTGTCTGCTCCCACCTTCTGCTACCCGACCCATGTCCTAAGGAGATGGATCTCAGGCCAGGCCTGAGGCAGTGATGGTTTACTCGTAATAACCCTGCCAGTGAGAGCTTCCCCCAGGCACAGAGAAAGATAACAAAGGAGTTTTACTAATGGGCCTGCAACTGCCGCGTCCTGAGCTCCGTCAGAACCAGGAGCAGCTGCAACCTACAAAGAGCAGGGTTTTGTTTTCTCCTTCCCACAGGTGTCAGCTCTCTGCAGGCCCCTCGGCTCCTCAGGCTCTCTGCCTCTCGGCCGGCCCCTCAGCGGAGCCCCGCCGGCCTGAGGAGACCCTCGCCGGCCAGAGAAGACTCTCGCCGGACTGAAGAGACCCTCGGCCGGCCCCTCAGCGGAGCCCCTCCGGCCTCAAGAGAACCCTCGCCGGCCTGAGGAGCCCTCGGCCGGCCCCTCCCGCCGACCTGAGGAGACCCGCCGCCGGCCTGAGGAGACCCGCCGCCGGCCCCTCAGCCGAGAGCCCCCTCCGCCAGCCAGCCCCTCGGCATAGGCGGAAGCCATACCACACTTCTCTCCCGCGCGGCTCCACAAACCCCGCCCTGCGCGGCTCACCTCCTCTCCCTAACCCCGCCCCTCTCCCGAGCGGCTCCACACACAACGCGCTGCGCGGCTCACTTCATCTCCCTAACCCCGCCCCTCTCCCGCTCTTCTCCACAGACCCCGCCCTGCGCCGCTCACTTCCTCTCCCTAACCCCGCCCCTCTCCCGCTCTTCTCCACAGACCCCGCCCTGCGCCGCTCACTTCCTCTCCCTAACCCCGCCCCTCTCCCGCTCTTCTCCGCAGACCACGCCCTGCGCCGCTCACGTCCTCTCCCTAACCCCGCCCCTCTCCCGCTCTTCTCCACAGACCACGCCCTGCGCCGCTCACGTCCTCTCCCTAACCCCGCCCCTCTCCCGCTCTTCTCCACAGACCCCGCCCTGCGCCGCTCACTTCCTCTCACTAACCCCGCCCCTCTCCCGCTCTGCTCCACAGACCCCGCCCTGCGCCGCTCACTTCCTCTCCCTAACCCCGCCCCTCTCCCGCTCTTCTCCACAGACCCCGCCCTGCGCCGCTCACTTCCTCTCCCTAACCCCGCCCCTCTCCTGCTCAGCTCTTCCCACAAACCGAGAGGGTGCAGTGACCACTGATTCCCACCGGATGGTGCTCTAGGCGTGTGCACCATGCTCCCTTTCTCAGGACCAGAGGGTGCAGTGACCACTGATTCCCACCAGATGGTGCTCTAGGCGTGTGCACCGTCCTCAGGACCCAGTGTCCTCCCACAAGCCCCGCTCGTGGCCCTCACTTCCGTGCTCCACTCTTCGGGTACTCTGACCCCACCGGCCCGGCCCTTCTTGAGCATCAGCACAGGAAGGTGTCCGCGCTCTTTGACCTCTCACCTTCCACAGGGCCCCGAGGGCCGTGTGTGCACACACAGCTCACACACAGATCACGCAGCTAGATGCCCGTGTGTACACACACCTCGGCACAGGCGATGCCAGCACCGAAGGAGACGCGCTGGTTACACACTCACCCTAGGAAGATGCAGAAACACACACACGCCCCTAGGGGATGTTCACCCTCCTAATCACACGGAGATGGACAGAGAAAACAAAATAGGATCGACTTCACCGAAGTAGTGTGGATATGTTTGTTAATTTTATGTAATAGTAATAAGGCAAGGAAACAAAACTGAAGCTCCCGGCAGGGTCATATATTAGTGTAAAATGTTTTGGCAATCAATCTAGTGGTTCTTCAACTGGTTGAAGAGCTACTGTAAGACACATAAATTCAACTCTAAGCCTATATACCGAAGAGAAATAAAAACATATGTCCATGAAAATATATAGAAACCTCCTTCATAATATCCAGTCTACAGGTCTTTGCTTGACATGGATTCTATATGGTGGAAAGCAGAGGAGACATTGCAGTGACCTCCACAGAACAGTTTTCATGCTGCTTCATAAACTCATGGTGACCCTCATTCTTCTGTGTTTGGGTATTTTCAAATACTTCTGCCCCGGGAGCAAACTTCAGAAGCCAGACAATTACTTCAACTAAACTGTGAGGCTAAAGGGGGTGTGTAACCAACACATATCAATATGGCAGAAGTAAGTCCACTAACCTCAGGCACAAAGACACAGGTCACTCTTTGCATACGCAATACTTTCTCTAATCACCTCAGAACAAAGCCCTACACATGTGCTGTCCAAAGTGTCCTTGTCTCTGGTTGTTATCTCTAGGTGTCTGCAACTGAACTCTGTACTTACCTAGAGCTAAGCAGGCTAGCCAACCACACTGCCTTTATTTATGCCAGAATGGGGCCACCTTTTACCTTTTCTCTACACAAATACCTGTGGCACAGCTATTCAACTTTCCCTACACATCTTAGGACATACTTAACTACTCTATACAATACTATTCTGTACTCTTTAGTACTACTTAACATTTTTCTGTACTATTATTACATATTGTTTAGTACTATTATTCCATTCTAAAATATACACAAATGCCCAAGTTCATACATTTATAGTCATGTCCTTTATATCTGTACTATCATTAACTAGTAATGAATTTACCACTTACCCTTTCTTAGCTCCCTTTTGTACAGCAAGTGAATTAGCAACTTGTGCAAATATGAGCATTCCAAAAATGATACACACTTCTGAGTCCTAAATTTTTTTAATATTTTCCCAACTACTAAAACATTATAGACATAATGGTCTGTGGTATTATATAGATAGATATACACACACATATATTTATGTATATGCACTTAGCTAATAGTGTTTAACATTTTTGCATCTGGGTGCAGGAATAATATGTCCTGTCATGTTCCTTGGAATATTCTTTTCTCAGTTTGGTATTAACATCTTATTGAACTCATAAAATTGGGGGGAGTCTCTGTTCATCACATTTTGTTTCTAACTTAAAAGAAATGTGAAAGCTGCAATATAGGAGTCTTAAGTACCATTCCCTGGAACTAGATGCTTAGAGAAAGCAATCATTGTCATGAAGTTCTTGAGATTATGTCCTCAGAGAAATCTGTGTGCATGTATGTAGGAAGGTAGGAAGTCAGAAAAGGGAGAGAGCCACTCCAGAGTGTGATCTCTGGGGGGAAAAAAAAGAAAAATGAAAAAGTGTTCTCTCTGGCAAGGGCCCTCAGCTTAATCCCATGTGTGACTTCGTGTAGATCCTCAGATTCACGAGGGTCTCAGGCCATACAGCTGAGTCCACCACATCACTCCACTTGGCAAGACCTAGGTTTTGACATTTTCAGAATCTTGAGCAGACAGCATGGCATCTCATGCAGGGAGTCTGGGGGCATCCCTGACTGAGCTCCAGTTCTGTGGACTCTGTAATTAGCTGGCATGGCTGGCAGACAGTCCACTCACTGGGCTTTGCGGTCCCTTCTGGTCAGGCAGAGCAGTGGGGCCAGGCGGCAGCTGCAGCCTGGCCTCCAGTCAGAGAGTACAAAGGCTGTGTCCAACAGCTCTGCAGGGTTGCTGTCTGTCTCTCGTGGTTGGTCAGTAATTCCTCCTACTTAGAATCAGCTCAAAGGTCCTGGCCTACATTTGTCCCAATGAGAATTCAATTTGCTATTCTATTTTGAACTGATTCATGCGATTCCAGTCAATGTCATACTGGTCCCCGCTACACCTCTGTTTGAGGGTATAATAAGCTTTCATAGCTGGAAACTTAGAACTTACACTGAATTCCTAATGTCTCCTGCAAGTAGAAGGGAGGAGGATATAGCAATCACAAGTAGCTTTCATTATTGGAAGTTATGGGAGGATTTAATGGCTATTGTTACTCAGCCTCCCACTACCTCCAAGAAATGGGCACCTGAGCTGCAGTAGGGCTGGAAATACGCCAGCGACTGTGCTTCTGCCATCCTGGGGCCACCTGCCCCTCGGTGTCTCGTGGCTGAGGGGTCTCAGGATCATGGCTGGGGTTCTGACCATCTGGGGGACGCCCAGTCCAGTCCCACCTGCACAGGCGCCATTACCCTTCTGTCTCGGGAAAGGCAAGCTGTGGAGGTCACCTTTGCGTGGAAGAGGACAGATTTTATGCAATTTTGTTACTATTCTAATATCGAATAGAGGGTACATTCTTGAAGCAGAATAGATCAGGGGAAATGAGACACAGGAAATAGCAAGTAGAAATTCAAAGATAAACATTGTATTAATGAATACACTGGTTTAAATACAGACAGACATATTTTCTTAGGCCTGTGTTGCCACAATATGCTGAAACCTATAAAAAAAAAAAAAAAAAAAAAAAGCTTTTATAATGCATTGCACTCAAAGCCCTGAGATCACTCAGCTGCTCATAGCTGGTGTCCTACCATTTGAGGCATGTCTCTGATTTGGCATTTTTGCTGGTTAGTGGAGATGGAATCTTGCAGACTTTTCTATCTGGGCTACCTTGGAACCAAGGTCTTCTGATCTCAGAGCTTGAGCAGCTAGGATTATAGGCATGAACCACTGGCAATGGGGTTGGAACACGTGTATTTTCTGAGAGAGGAAACAGTATGTTTGAACTCAGGGCCTTTTGTATGCCAGGCCGTTGCTCTGCTACTTGAGCAACATCACAGCCATGAAAATGTTTTTCTATTTCAAAACTCTATTATACCCGTGAGGGTATAATAGAGATGGGGTGACAGCAGCCAGAGGTGCTATCCTCAACACCGAACTGTGGAACTGCAAACCCTTTGCACAGTGCCCTAATGATAACAATAAAAACTTAACTATAACTTTGTATAGACACAAACATTTTAAAAATATTTCCCAGAGTCAGGTTTTTTGTTTTTTGGCTGACTTACGGTTCTCTGAAAGAACCTGGAAGGTCTTTGAAAGAAATAACTGTAAGGTAAAGTTGCCTATGATAAATTCAAGCTGAATAGTTAAATCACCCCATAGGTTTTCATACAAGTTCCTATGTGTTTGTGCTTACACACACACACACACACACACGCACGCAACTGATTTCTAAGTCTCTTTATCTTTGCATTTTTACTTTTAATGTTATTGTCAAGGTGATGCACATAGTGTTGAGTACGTTTCTAGTCAAACTTGTTCCCCTCCCTCGGTTTTCTCCTTTCCCTCCCCCAGCCCAGCCCACAAGTTGTTCAGACCACCTCCAGCACACTGTCTTCTATCACTGCTGCATCGATTCCCCTATCCTTTTTTGTTCCCCTTTCCTTCCCTAATTAGATAAACATATATACAATACCCAGGGTACCAAAATCAAATCAGTGACCACAGGGAATATGCCATAGGGGGACAAAAACACAAATCATGTGGTACATCAAAAACAACAACAACAACAACAAAGAAAACCATCTTCGTGGAGTCTGTGTCCCTTGGCATCATCCCACATGGTCATACGCACTCTAAGTCTCTTGAGAGTACGACAAACTGAAATCAATTCTCTTTTCTTCTTTTGCGCTTTCATCCAATACTTCACTTGTTTAAATTTATTTCAACTCCTACATAAAACATTAAAATTGTACCTATCAATTGGTTACATGGTGTTTTCATCCAATGCATAGTCATATTAAGCATATCTATCTGCTCAAGCATTTATCATTTCTTTACTGTGAAAACTGTCAAAATCCTGTCTTCTACCTCTTTGATCTGCACAGTACATAAGTGCTGTCTGCGGTCACCATACAGCACAACAGCAAAACAGAAATTCTTCCTCCTAACCAAAACTTAGTACCCAAGAATCAACCTTTCTCCATCCCTCCTCTTAAAAAAATCTAAGAGCAATTCTCTCCCTTCCCCAAGTAATTTGTGTGTTGTGGAGATTTAAACAAGGTTATCTTTGAAATGAACTTTATCCTGGGAAAAACACTCATCTCAGAATAAAAGCCATGGAAATGTTGGGCACCAGTGGCTCACGCCTATCATCCTAACTACTCAGGAGGCTGAGATCTGAGGATCAAGGTTCAAAGCCAGCCTGGGCAGGAAAAGGTGTGAAACTCTTATCTCCAATAAACCACTCAAAAACCTGGAAGTGGTGCTGTGGCTCAAGTGGTAGAGCGCTGGTCTTGAGCTGAAGAGCTGAGGGACAGCACCCAGGCCCAGAGTTCAAGACCTATGACCAAAAAAACAACAACAACAAAAAGCTATGCAAATGAAAATGAGCATGTGTCTGGGCCCAACAGTGTTTGAGAATGAAACCATGGATCTTGAGGACAGCATCGATGCAATCGGCCTTTTGTTAAAAGTTGCTGAAACGCCTGTGTCATAATGCCCACATTCAATGGCAGAGCCAGCCTGGCAATCTCTGGGCCAAGTGCTACCAGAGCGCAAAGCTGATGGAAGGGAGCAGGGTCCAGAGGGGCCGGCGCCCAGCCACAAACACCAAGGATGGCACTGCGGCGCCACTCCGGGTGACACCCTATCAGCCACCAGCATGTGGAAGGGGAGCCCTGGCTCAGGCAGTAGCCAGCCTTGAGTGAAAAGGCTGAGGACGGCAGCCAGCCGCAGCTCATCCCAGAGCCTCCCGCCCACATGGGTGCCACAGGTGGTTCTTAATGATGGTCACACAGCAGGATTTGCTTCGGATCTCCTGTCACCAATCTCTGCAAAAGACCATACTTCATGGTTCTTTGTATGTTCTGCTGCGGCCTCAGGCTGAGTGAAGAAATGCTAGCGGCTGACATCTCAAGTTGTTTGCTACTGATGACCCTTGACAGGCTGTACTGCAAATTCACGTTCAGAAAGAAGGGCGATTGCATCATCAGTTACCACACTCAGTTAATCTTGAACTGTTAAGTCAGTGTTGCTACAGTGCCCACATTACTTGAGAAAGTTAACCACCTACCTTTGTCCTATTGTTTAGCATTTAGTATATATGAGGTGACATTAAATTATTATCACAGAGAACCTGGGAAGAGAGTATCATGGGACACAAAACTCTGTACTTCGGACTGTTTTGTATTTTCCTTGCTTACTATATTTATATACCCATACCAGAAGGCATTGAAGAACCTTGGAAAGTACAACTTTTGGATGCTTCAATGAAAATGATATCACTAACGGTAATATTTCCCTAAAAAATAAGAGTGCCTTGCTATAAGTATACATTGACTTTCTTTCAGTTAGTGTTTTGAAAGAGGCAAGACTTTTCTTGTAGAATGAATCTACCAAATAATATTATGATTAATTTTACCAGTCATGAATATGCTTATTTGAATATGTACAAACCAAGGAAGAACATAACTCTTTTTCAGACTTTGTGTCTGTGTCTAAAGAGAATGACCACATATTGTGAATAAAGGAAATGATATTGTCCAAAAGGGAAATTTGTTGAAATGTTATGCATGTAATGTATTTTCATGCATTCTCTTAAAACTTAAATGAGTTTGTCAATTTGCATTCCGATGTATATTTACTACTTTTAACTTTTTAAGTAATTCTCAAGATTTATTTACTCAAAAACTATTCTCATTCTTTGAGTTACTGCAGACCAGAGGACTTTCTGCATGTCAGAAACATTTAACAGTTATATTAGTAATTAATTCCCTTACAGAAGATGGTGTTCATTTCATTATAAATCACTACCAGTGATACAACTGTATAAAAAATAAAATTAACTTTCAACTATAGGAATGACTTTTCCAGGTTTTTGGATGACTTTAATACATTTCTTTTTTTTTGGTCGGTCATGGGGCTTGAACTCTGGGCCTGGGCGTGTCCCTCAGCAATTCAGCTCAAGACAAGTCTTCTGAGTGGTTCATTGGAGATCAGAGTCTCACGGACTCTCCTGCCCAGGCTGGCTTTGAACTGTGATCCTCAGCTCTCAGCCTCCTGAGTAGCGAGGATGACAGGCGTGAGCCACCAGCGCCTGGCTGTGGATAATTCACCCTCTTGTTGGAATCTTTATTCAAGTTTTGGATTTCTTCCTAATCACACTTCTGTTCACTTCTCAGAGTAGTATTTCTTTTGTATTGTGTACATAATTTGTAGTTGTGGTTAATGACTTTGAGTTCATTTCTTTTTTTTTTTTTTGTCGGTCGTGGGGCTTGAACTCTGGGCCTGGGTGCTGTCCCTCAGCTCTTCAGCTCAAGGCGAGCGCTCTACCACTTGAGCTACTTCCGGTTTTCTGGTGGTTTATTGGAGATAGCAGTCTCACAGTCTCTCCTGCATGGGCTGGCTTTGAACCGCGATCCTCAGATCTCAGCCTCCTGGGAAGCTAGGATTACAGGCGTGAGCCACCAGCGCCCGGCTTGAGTTCATTTTTTCTTGGCTAGGACTACGCTACTCGAACCTATATTTTAACAATTCCATTGTAAATAACATTTAATAATAAACATATCCATCCTCATATTCTTCAAGATTTTGAGAAACATTAATTAGAATATTATAACTCATAATTATACTTGTATGGAAAAATAAATTCATCTCTCTTAAAGACATTCAAGAATATTGAGGCTAAGCATAAATAATTTAAAAATTAATTGTACACTGAAGAATGTGATTGCACTGAGAATTCATCTCTATTCGACTTGCTTTTGACTTTTGACCAGACCTAATTTCCAAGAAGAGTAAACTAAGCCTACTTCTCGTTTCCTACCTAATGACTGGTTCCCTTGATGAGGTGGCGAGTGATCCTGAAGAGAATGAGACATGGCCATCAACACAGAGGTGTTCCTGCGAATTTAGCTCACAAAGACAACAGATACCTACACCTGACTTTTAGATTATGTCTCAGACTCCTCCTAGTTCCAAATTCCAAACATACATTTATTTTGTGACTTGGATGTGGCTGTCTCCTTGAGTATAAGTTTTATATGCTTGTGCATGTATTTCTGTGTGTGTGTTTTAAGTTGAAACTTAGTATCTTTAAGTAGCAGAACAGTTGCTTTGGGATTATACAAGGTCAACAGCACACACCAGTTCCCACATATTGTTCCTTTCAGCTATCACTTTTTAAGTTCAAAGTCCAGTTCATTTCAAAAACTTTTTGGTTTTTTTTTTTTTGGGGGGGGGGATTGGTCATGGGGTTTGAACCCTGGGCCTGGGCACTGTCCCTCAGGTCTTCAGGCACCATTTCCAGTTTTCTGGTGGTTAATTGGAGGTTAGAGTCTCATGGACTTTCCTACCTAGGCTGGCTTTGAACCGCAATCCTTAGATCTCAGCCTACTGAGCAGTTAGGATTACAAGCATGAGCCACTGGTGCCCAGATTTCTGTGAGACGCTTAGCTCCAATTAATCACCAAAAACCTAGAAGTGGGGTTGTGGCTCAAGTGGTGGAATACTAGCCTTGAGCAGAATAGCTCAGGGACAGCGCCCGGACTCTGAGCACAAGCCCCAGGAGCAGCACAAAAAAATATTCTATTAAATTGAATGACCAGTAAATTAAAATAAAATGAAAGTGTTAGAAAGATGAATACAACGAAAATATATATTTATAATGTAAATATATTTTTTTCTGACAAAACTTTACATTTCCGAAGCAATTAGATTCACCTAAGATACAGTATCGGGAAATAGATAACTTTAAAAGAGGTCACTCTTATTCGGGACACCGCACACTTGCAGTATCTGAGTCAGTAAGCGCACACGTTAGGGTATTTAAAAGACCACACTGTCATATATTAGCTTTCCCTTTATTTTTGATAATTTATTATTGAGATTGATTACATAAATTTCACAGTCTTGTAGGGCAGTGACGCTTAATGCCACTAGTCTTCCCTTTAAATTGTGACGTTTTGTGCATTTGGTGTTAATGAAAATCTTCAGTGTTTTAAATTTTGCTTTGTGTCACCAGGCTATGTTACTTGAAAACATGGGTATCATAACATACGAAGAGTTCTACCTGACAATATCGAGCGTGCTCTTGACAAGGCCGGAGTCCGACAGGAACCTGACAGTGTTAGACATGGACTTCGGTGGCGTCCCCGTGCGCCTGTACATGCCCACGGGGGCCGCGGAACGCCGGAGGCCTGCGGTCGTGTTCCTTCACGGGGGTGCGTTTGTCATGGGAAGCTGCAGTAAGTGCACCTTGTGGATATGCATGCATCGAGTCAAATGCATGACCTACATATGTAATGCATGCCACTGAGAGGGCGTTTGCTGACACAGTATCTATTTGTGAGTAGTCTCTGCATCTCAGTTGATGGTATCAATCACAACTTACCCAAGTGTCCTCATAGTTAAAATAATAGATGAGATTTTATTAAACAAATGTATTGATAACATCGTCTTGGAAGTACAAAAGGCTAACATGAAGCTTATGTTTAAAAATAGTAAGGAACCCGACTTCAAGTCCCCTCAAATTAAAATAAACCATATGGGTTTTGTGGGTTTCTGCTGTGCTAGGACTCGAACTCAGAGCCTGGGTGCTGTCCCTGAGCTGCTAATACTCTACCACTTGAGTCACAGCGCCACTTCTGGCTTCTTCAGGGTAGTTTACTGGAGATGAGTCTCACAGATTCCCCTGCCTGGGCTGGCTTCAAACCACAACCCTCAGCCTCCTGAGTAGCTAGGATTATACGTGTGAGCCACTGGCAGCACATAAACAGAAACTGGGACGATTCAGAGATGATTCGCATGGCCCCCGCACAGGGGTGATGTGCAAATTCATGAAGAGCTCCAGATTAAAAAAAAAGCCTGAATGTATTTTTATACATTGCATGCATGAGGCCCTGGGTTCGATTCCTCAGCACCACACAAGCAGAGAAATCCAGAAGTGGTGCTGTGGCTCAAGTGGTGGAGCGCTCGCCTTGAGCTGAAGAGCTGAGGGACAGCGCCCAGGCCCAGAGTTCAGGCCCCACGACCGACAAAACAAAAAAACCAAGAATGTGAATGCTCATGCGGATTTCTGACATCTCAGAGGATAGCTTACTTGGTTCAGTGACACTGAGAAGTATATTTGGTAATAGAGAAATGAACATCATTTCCTTGAAAAGACAACAATACTAACAGTGTTAGGAAAAGTAAAATAGGGTCCAACCTCTGAATGTACAAAAACTGACAGTGCTGTCTGCAATACCACCTTCAACCCGAGTCTCAATTTCTGGCTTATTGTATCAGACAATTTTATGAGATGCCATGGAAATGAGCACTTCTGCTGTAGCCAAGGTTCTACAGATACTCAGAGATTTGGGATCCAAATGACACGCCAGTTGCTCCCTGAGCTCTGCAGATGTCCTTAGCACTGGCAGCGGGCCCTTGAGCTGCGGATTCTTCCAGAAGAGCCTCTGGCAGGGCTGGCTGCCACAGGCTTTCCCAGGGCCGGCCGCCGGCCGTAGGCAGGGCCGACACATGGCCAGGCCATCCCGGCCTCCCGCCCCGGGACGCAGCGCAAGGGTGGCCAAGGAGGACTCTGGTTCTCATTTGACTTAGAACTAGGAAAATTTGTCACTCGGACAACAGGGACCCCAGCAGGGACGTCAGCGACATGCCACAAGCTCAGGTGATCTTCCATTGCTCTTTACTGGCGGGGTCCTTCTTTATGCTTGTCTCGTTGCAGAGCTGGAAGCCTACAACTTCCTGAACAGAATGGTGGCAAACAGACTGGACGCTGTGGTGGTGGGAGTCGAGTAAGCTAGCGACGGCTCTTCGTGGGCGGCAGGGCGGGGCTGGGGGCTTGATTATCGGCGGCAGGCAGCGCCCAGGCCCCTCCGGAGACCCCTGGGTGCAACACGGCGTGGGCCAGACCGCAGGGGCAGGCCTGGCCTAGCCTGGGCAGCACGCGCACGGGAAGAGCGTGCCCCTGTTGCACACTTACACTGTGTTGAGACGGTAATCTACACAATGAGCCTTCTATTGCTTGGAGTAATGTTACGTAACCTGTGTTGGAACTGATGATCAGAGCATGTCAAGTCCTTCTCAAACAACAGCTTAGCGTCTCCTAACATCTACCCAAGTTTCAAAGAGCACTTCACAGTCAACTAAACGCTTGTTACTTTGTACCCTATTCAGGTGTAGTCTGTAGAATGCTTCATCCTGAGGAAAAGTTTTCCTCCTGTCTTGCAAATTCCATACTCCAAAACATACTTCAGAGACTTTAGGCTGTTTCCTACCCCTAAATGAAGAATTTCTTTGCTAAGACAGAGTCCAAGGGGGTCAAATGGACAATAAGGGGAAGTCAGTGCTGTCGTATTACAATCTCTGCTTTCTACCAACCACAAAAGAAAAAGACATTTCATATTGATTTCCTTTTCTTCTGCAGCTTAATTATATAACGTCACCTAATCATTTTTAATAAACTTTTTGAATTATTAAATATGTTGGACAGACTTAAAAAGTCCATCAACTTATTTAGGACTTTTTTTTTTTATCGGTCATGGGCCTTGAACTTAGGGCTTGGACACTGTCCCTCAGCTCTTCAGCTCAGGGCGAGCGCTCTACCACTTGAGCCACACAACCACTTCTGGTTTTCTGGTGATCAATTGGACATAAGAGTCTCACAGACTTTCCTTGCCTGGGCTGGCTTTGAACCATGAACCTCAGATCTCTGCCTCCTGAGTAGCTAGGATTACAGGAATAAGCCACCAGTGTCAGGCTTGTTTTTTACTTGAAAGAATATTTCAAGCAATGGTTGTATTTTTGGCATTTTAGATTATACTATATTTTAGATACTTTAACAAGCTTGCAGTCGATATAATTCACTATTTCTTATGAGTATTAAGATCACTACTATAAAAAGTTTTAAACTCAAGAAGTGTGCTCCTATCACAGAAAATGTACACACAGATTCACTAGAAGATTCTGTAGTAACATGTACAAATTCACAATGGTTAAACAAAATGTCTTGCATCACGATACTTGTATATTTATAGGTCAATTCTTGTTTTAAATCAAATTTTCACACAGTGTTTCTGATATGAAATGGGACATATAACCTTATAAAGACCTAAATACAAATCATCTGCTGTCAGATTTTTTGCTTTTAAATTTTCTAGTGCATTTCCATCAACAGTTCTGGAAGTTTATGAATCACCAACACTGAGACTGTAATAAACACAGTAGTGAGTCTGCTTTGCTCTTCCCTAAGAATTTCATTTATTTTTATGGAGATGAAGAGAAAACATTTCCTCACACATCTCTCATAAAATAAACCCTTGTCCTCATTTCCATAGAACCTGAAATCCTTTATACCATGAAGTATTTTGATTTTTTTTAAACTGCTTTTTAAAAAAAAAAACAAAAAACAGAAAGCACTAGTAAGCACAGGCTTAGGTGGTGAACATCAAGACTCCAAGATGGGCCAATTTTGATCAATGTGTCTGTTGGTTAAATTAACATGTATTAATTCTAAATGCTTTGTTGGTTTTTTGTTCATCTAAAGCTACAGACTAGCTCCACAGTATCATTTCCCGGTTCCTCTTGAAGACTGTATTTCTGCAGTCAAGTTTTTTCTGCAGGATGAAATCCTCAGGCAGTATGGCGTGGATCCCGCCCGCGTCTGCATCTCTGGAGACAGCTCAGGCGGTGCGCTCGCAGCCCAAGTGGTTCAAGCGGTAGGTGCGCAGCCGTCTGTGTGATCCGTGCGTGTGCATGCACTCTGCTTTATTTCAGTCTCTATATTTATGTTAAGTATCTTACTTTAACATGAAATGGAAAGCAAGCAGGTCCTGTCTGTGTCACTTCACATTTAAAAGTGGCTTTGGTGTTATAAAATTGAATAAAACTCTTATGTACTATAATAATTCTAAGAAAAAAATACAAAGACAAACATTAAGGAAAATAAATTAGCAAATACTACAGAGAACAAACTGAGGCCCTGAGACAAAGGCTTTGTTAGGAAGCTTCCAAAGAAGCTGTACAATTTTTGATTTATTAACAAAGATTGATAGGAGATTAGTTACATAACTGTTTCATGAGTTAGAGTGAAGAGAAATCCTGGCCACTGCCTCCATACTCAGCCCTCCTGCCCCAGGACAGGGCGGCTCAGGCCGCAGGCCGCGGACATGACAAATGGGCTTTTCAAATTTGCTTAGACCCTAAAATGTTGATGTTTGCTTTCCTTCCATGAGTAGCAAATAACCATCATTATGATGGTGGTGGTGGTGTCCTGCCAGGAGACCAGCACACACAGGCAGGTGCTAGTGTCACAGACACACCCTGCACACACAGGCAGGTGCTAGTGTCACAGACGCACACCCTGCACACACAGGCAGGTGCTAGTGTCACAGATGCACACCCTGCACACACAGGCAGGTGCTAGTGTCACAGACACACACCCTGCACACACAGGCAGGTGCTAGTGTCACACACACCCTGCACACACAGGCAGGTGCTAGTGTCACACACACCCTGCACACACAGGCAGGTGCTAGTGTCACAGATGCACACCCTGCACACACAGGCAGGTGCTAGTGTCACACACACCCTGCACACACAGGCAGGTGCTAGTGTCACAGATGCACACCCTGCACACACAGGCAGGTGCTAGTGTCACAGATGCACACCCTGCACACACAGGCAGGTACTAGTGTCACACACACCCTGCACACACAGGCAGGTGCTAGTGTCACACATGCACACCCTGCACACACAGGCAGGTGCTAGTGTCACACACACCCTGCACACACAGGCAGGTGCTAGTGTCACAGACGCACACCCTGCACACACAGGCAGGTACTAGTGTCACACATGCACACCCTGCACACACAGGCAGGTGCTAGTGTCACAGACGCACACCCTGCACACACAGGCAGGTGCTAGTGTCACAGATGCACACTCTGCACACACAGGCAGGTGCTAGTGTCACAGATGCACACCCTGCACACAAAGGCAGGTGCTAGTGTCACACACACACCCTGCACACACAGGCAGGTGCTAGTGTCACACACACACACCCTGCACACACAGGCAGGTGCTAGTGTCACAGATGCACACCCTGCACACACAGGCAGGTGCTAGTGTCACACACACACCCTGCACACACAGGCAGGTGCTAGTGTCACACACACACACCCTGCACACACAGGCAGGTGCTAGTGTCACAGATGCACACCCTGCACACACAGGCAGGTGCTAGTGTCACACACACCCTGCACACACACAGGCAGGTGCTAGTGTCACAGACGCACACCCTGCACACACAGGCAGGTGCTAGTGTCACACACACCCTGCACACACAGGCAGGTGCTAGTGTCACAGATGCACACCCTGCACACACAGGCAGGTGCTAGTGTCACACACACCCTGCACACACACAGGCAGGTGCTAGTGTCACACACACCCTGCACACACAGGCAGCTGCTAGTGTCACACACACCCTGCACACACAGGCAGCTGCTAGTGTCACAGACGCACACCCTGTACACACACAGGCAGGTGCTAGTGTCACAGACGCACACCCTGCACACACAGGCAGGTGCTAGTGTCACAGACGCACACCCTGGACACACAGGCAGGTGCTAGTGTCACAGATGCACACCCTGCACACACAGGCAGGTGCTAGTGTCACAGACGCACACCCTGGACACACAGGCAGGTGCTAGTGTCACAGATGCACACCCTGCACACACAGGCAGGTGCTAGTGTCACACACACACCCTGCACACACAGGCAGGTGCTAGTGTCACACATACCCTGCACACACAGGCAGGTGCTAGTGTCACAGACACCCTGCACACACAGGCAGGTGCT